AGCATTTGAGTAAGAGTGACGTGTAGACAGCACTAGTAAATTTACGTTATCAGAAATAACCAAATTTTCAAGAACATGTGTTTTTCTTGTTTCCTAAGGCGATCCTACATAAATATCCCCTTTATTGAGTAATGGTCTTACATATCTCTCTCTATATGTTTCTGTCACTATAAGGGGTCATTATACTTGGCCCAGGATGAGAATTTTATGAAGACTTTAGGGAAACTAGAGTTTTTACCTTGTGAGATGATTGCGGAGAATTTTTATTTTTTCGTCGAATTTTTTCTGCAATAGATGGGTCGTATTCAAAAACTTCCCCAGGTTCATCACTATTTTGCCGAAAATATTTCACAATGAATATACCACTAGTAGATATATGACCGAACCACCGCTAATCCTTGTCATGTATGCGTTTGCAGAATGGATATTCTAGTGGAGCTTTCCGGTTAAAATATACAAAGTTTCTTGAATCATTTTCTTCGATAGTCCAATCCCTAAGATATTTAGAATACTTTTGCAAAACTAGGTCCGCGCATTTTTGTAATACATCTTGACTCACGATTATTCTTAGTGGATTGTTATTTTTTTCAGTGTTAAGTAATCGGAGTCTTACTTCAAGCCCTAAGCTAGTAGGTGGCTGAACTCTAGTATGATTGAGATTATTCCACTCATTATCTAGTGAGAATTGAAGAATACGCTTTACACGACCTTTTTTTGCCAAACCGATAAGGCGAAGGTTAAAATTTCGACCAGGCAATCCCTGATCAATATACTTGCTGAATTTTTCCCCAGTTAAGATATATACTAATTCAGTGAATGCTTTAAGTTCCTGATGATCAATAAGGAAAGCCGATGTATATAAAATATGGTAACTACACTTGCTAGGGTCTGATGATATAGCAATTATTAATTTATTGAGAATATCCTCCCAGCTACAATCAAGAATTCGATACAAAGCTCTTATGAAAGACAGGCAGATTCAAAAGAATACTTCTTGCGCCTTAACACCAGTTGCTTCCATATCTTCTTGCAGAGCATCTATGTCAATCACGGCTCTTAAAGGTTTTTGACCATTAATACATTTATAAATCTCTAGTAAGCCATATACTTCAGAAATGTCATCGTCAACAGAAAATTTGGGGCATGATTGGCATCTTGGTTGATTTTTATAACCAATTTATTTTTCACTTCACTTCGGTCATAAACATTATATAAACTAGAGCTTTTTTCATTCAGAAAGAGGAATGAATAGATTGGGAGGCAATCCAACGACCCTTTATCGACTGATATATCTCTAGGCGATGATGTGAGAATCTCTCGAATGGCATTTAGCAAATCTTTAGGGGGAAATTTATCATTGAAGTTTTCTTCTCTCAAAGTATATGTCATATTAACTTTTCAATCTTTTATAGCTTTGGTAGTGCTGGTTGAAGCGCAGGAAGCTTCTTCATTATCGAACTCATAATTAGACTTGTAGTTATTATAATCATCTGATCCCAAATCAGATTTATCAATATAGCTATCTGAGTTACTCAAGTATTCATCAGAGCCGGTATCGTCGTAGCAGAGGGCTGAGCAGTTCTGATGCGATCAGTTTGGTCAGAAATAGTTGAGGTATGCATGTCATCAGTAAGTAAAACTTTATATACTCCAATATATTTTCGAAACGTTTAATTAATTTTTTTGGTGGTTGCAAAAAAAGAGGTGTATAGTAAGATGGTAATGGGCCAGGAATAAATGCATTCTTGATAGGTGATGCTTAGAATAGCCTTCTTCAGAATCTTTATATAAAATATTAGAAGAAGGCTACCCTATCACTAGTATATATCCAGGTATGTGTATTCAGGGTAGCCTTCTTCAGAATCTTTATATAAAATATTAGAAGAAGGCTACCCTATCACTAGTATATACTCGAGTATATGTAGATACTTAAGGTAGCCAAGTGCGCAAAAATATTGGCAAAAGAATACCCTAATACTAGTATGTACTCAAATATATGTGATGTATAGTAGATACTTAGGGTAGACAACTTTAGAAATAATATATAAAAATATGGAAGTTACCTATCCTATCACTAATATGTACCCAGGCATATATATCAATTGGATATATAATTTTCTTTGGGAATAATATTGTGGCAGAAGGTTTCACCTAGATATGTATTCGGGTATATGTGGATACTTAGAGTAAGCAAGTACGTAATCTATTATATAAATATTGGTACTTGCCTACCCTATCACTAGTATATACTCGGAAATAATATGCCATCTAAGGTCATGCCTTCACACTTGGTAATAAATATAGTGACAAATAGGTAGTCAAAGCTGGCATAAAAATAGTCTGAAACTGGCGAACAAATAGAAGCTTTCTGACCTAAAAATTGGTCAAAATTATAACATAATGTTAGCCGAAATTAATTGCAGATCTACTGCGCCACCCGACATGATATTTTTTTTACCATATTTTGGGATCTAGAAAGGCAACCAAATAGGTGCAAAAAGATAAGTACCTCAATATAGAATCTAGCATCCAGACCGGCACAAAGGAATAGCAACCCCAACATAGAAGCAGGTACCCAAACAGATATAGAAGGTCAGTACCAACAATATAGAATTTAATATGTAAACAAATCAGGAACAAGAAGGAAATAGCAGTATTTAGATTATATGTTGGAAGTTAGATTAAATAGCGGGAGGTAGTTCGATTATATAGTGATGAAAAATATAAATATCAAGAAGGGATTTAAAGAATAGCTAGAATATAAAATAGATACCTGATATAGAAAAAATATATAGATTAAATAATGGTTATTAGATTATATTAATCAGATTTTATAGTAGTAATTAGATTATATTATTTAGATCATATAATGATGTTTAGATTATGAAGTGTTATTCAGACTATATAGGAATATCAAGATTATATAACATTATTCAGATTATATAGTGATATCTAGATTATATAGTAATACTATAATCTAACTTAAGTGGGATACTACCTGTAATATAATTTATATTACAGGTAGTATCCCACTGAGCCTGTTGGACCAACTATCATTATGAATTAGACTGAGATAACCCAAGAAGTATTGAATACTTTACCAATAGTGATGGACGAGGAACTCTTACTAAGTGCTGAATTTGTAGTAAAGAATTTATTCGATCCAGAATGTACAAACTAAACACAGTAGAAGAAGATACCTGGTTTTGTGACTTAGAACACTTGTATGCTTACAAGGCTGCCAAAAATATTGAATGGAACCCCAACTATAACTTGTGGATTCGAGTTAGATATTATATCGAATCTACCAGAAATGCTGGATATGCCTATGACCTCAACCAAAGCTGAATCTATCTCCTAGCCCAGATCCAACTAGGTGAAAGTAGTGAACAACTTGCTAGTACTCTTGAACCCCTAGCAACAGACTGCTCTAACTAGGATTATACTGATGAGGAAATTAACCTCATTATGAGAGCCCTTATATTGAGTTGACCTCAACTGAAGTGGACAAATTACAAAGAATCTTAGCTGAATCATTTGATACTAGCTATCCTGACTTTGACCAATGAAGAGCTATAGAGAATCTACAGAAAATTTTTCAAGAAACTATAGAACTTTGTAGAAATTGTCTTATGGCAAAAGCTAAGACCAAACTTGAACAATATGATCAGTATTGTCAAGAGTATCATAATGAACTTCATCCACCTCTTCTACTACCAGAACCAGAAACAAAAAAACTATCTCCAAATCGAACTCCAACTCCTTCTCTACTTG